TACCTTAATACCTTTTGATTCTAAACGTCATAGTAATTCTGAGCAACTTATTATAAGAGGATGTTGCCAATCTAGGAGTTGACCATTTCCAGCCAGTCCAATACGGTAAATATGAAACAGCTAGAGAGAGACAGCCTTTGTTCGTCAATGAATGAGGTCAATTTCAATACAAGTCCTCAACAAAATCAAGAAGGTCAATGTAGAGATGTTCTGCTTGACTTAAATTGCTCCGTATCTGAAGATTTTCTTTCATAATCAAATGGGCAAGTTCTGCAAACATTTGGGAAAAGGTGTCTTGTTGTATCTCACAGCAAACATCCTTCCTAACCACTAGGTCTTCAGTGGATATCTTATGAAGGTAAGATAAAGTGTTTGATACCTTGGGCAAAAATTATATGGTGTTTCATTGGAAGAGGGGCAAATCATATGAAGATTTCAGTGTTTTACAACATGTTCCAACTCTTCTCAAAGTAGAGGTAGAAAACAGAATCTAAAACATTTCACATGCAAAGGATCAGTACCATCATAGAGCCTTTGATCTCTGAGTCTTTAAAATAGTTAATCCACCAGTCAGTTTTGCTATTGAAAAGAAATGCCCACCACCCCTCTATTCTTTAATTTGCAAAGGAAACCCAGAATAAGAAAATCTTCCCCCCTTCAAATCTGTCTCGAGCATGATGCGTCAGGAACCTCTGCATTGCAGCAACACAAGCATTCTCTGTACCTGCATCGGCACGACATACGTGAGGGGCCCCTCCCAGTTGTTCCACACAGTCATGTCATAGAATTTAGCGATTATATGAGGATCATTGTTTGAGGAACCTAACTCAATGTAGTGTTTGTAAGGTACATTTTTTGTGTCATAGGTAAGCACCCAATGGAGGTCGGGAGTTGATTATTAAAGTAGCATAGCAGACGTTTAGATTAGCTTTGTGTGTTGCGTCCTTTTTTTCGCGAATATCCATTTCCATCAACAGTAGAATGTGACATCTGGCAACGAGGATTGAAGTTGCAGCTGCCAGACCACGACGTCAATAAAGATAGATGATTTGATGTGTGAAACCCTTCGATCCACATGGTGAACCTTCAAGCATGGGAAGGCTATGGCAGTGTTGGTTGAAAAGCTTCTCAGTTTATGCCGATAGCAAAGGCTTGCTCATGCACAGAGCTAATGAAGCCATTATCAGAGAATATTATCCCATACCCACAGTGGACGAAATGCTCCAAAGCCTCAACCAGAGCACAGTGTTCAGTAAACTAGATTTAAAATGGGGTTACCACCAATTAGAATTCCATCCAGATTCCAGAAGCATCACAACGTTCACTACTCACCGTGGTCTCTACCGGTACAAGCGCCTCATATTCAGGATTAGCTCAGCTCCAGAAGTATACCTGCATGTCATTCAGCAATCATTACAAGGCTGTGAAAGTGTTGCCAACATCTCAGATGATATCATCATTCATGGGAAGAACACTGAGAAACATGACAGAAGATTGCAGCTAGTTTTGGAGGGGCTGAAAGAGAAGAATCTCATGCTGAATGCAGAGAAGTTCCACACAACCCAGATGGTCTTCATGGGACTGGTGTTAAGCAACAATGGTATTGGCCCTGCCGAAGACAAGGTAAAGGCGATGGTGGATGCAAGAGAACCGCATAGTGCATCGGAAGTCAGAAACTTTCTGGGACTGGCAAACTACAATGCGAAGGCTGGCCAAAAAGGGTGTTCATTTCGATTTTGGAGAAGAGCAGAAGAACGCATTCATTGAGCTTAAGAGGAGGCTATCAAGCGCAGATAATCTTGGCTACTTTGATAAAGATGCCAAGACACTAATCATAGCAGACGCAAGCCCAGTAGGCCTCGGTGCGATCCTCATCTGAGAGCAGCAAAGCAGGAAAAGAGTCATTAGCTATGCAAGCAAGAGTTTGAGCGTTGTGGAAAGGCGTTACTTGCACTTGTACTTAAACGGCGTTGAATTCACCCTGTATACTAATCACAAGCCATTGGAAACAATCTACTCGAGCAGATCCAAGCCGTGTGCACGAATAGAAAGATGGATCCTGTGATAACAGCCATATAAATTCCAAGTCAAATACTTACCTGGAGAGCAGAATATTGCTGACCTGTTGTCATGCTTGCTGCATGCAAACTGGAAAGCAGAATCTTCATCAGTACACAAGGTGTCGGATGAATTTGTCAGGTTTGTCACAGCAACTGCCACTCCTCAAGCGATGACAACATGTGAACCCCTCTTATACATATAAAAGAGATCATTTAAAAAATTAACTCATATTCAGAACCTGGTTGAAAGTCATTCAAAATCAGTGATAAAACTAATCGAGCCAAGAACCCATTCTGTCAACTCTCTTGCGATCAATTCACCCAAAATCTATTTTTTTGCTGTATGTGTAAGAAGACATCTGTTGATTTGTAACTTTTGTTTTCCCTCATTAATTTGAAACCTCCATGCACTGTAGCTTAATTGATATATTATCTTTATTGAAGCTCTCATTTCAATGTCACCTAGGAAAGTGTTGTATTGCAGATCACCCTTAAATCTATAACTTGGGATTGAACCAGGGCATTAAAATATGATAAACAGTCAAATGCGACTCATGCTAAGCCAAAGTTTACACACCTGGCCTTAGTTGTTCGAAAGTTAGATAATACTATCCAGTGGATAAAACTCTATATAGTGAATACTCCCATACCTTTTGCTATTGCTTATCCACCAGATGACAACTTATCCATATGAGAATGGCTATGAAACCTTGATTTGGCTGAGATCAATATGTGAACAAGCGCAAACGCTGGATAGCCATCCTCTCTGAAGGAACTATAGCCACCTGGGACCAAATGACTTTGAATTTGTCTAAATGACCCTAGAGGTAAATAACTCAATAACTCAATATAGATTTCTGGCCTTTCACTTTTTTCTTGTAAACAGAAAGGCCAATAACTAGCGGCTGGCTATGGCCTTTTGTGTACCCGGTTGCTTTTTAACAGCTTGTCTAATGTAATTTTATAGGTATCTTGACACAGTTTTCGCTCTGTAATCAATTACCTGGATGACTTTCTTATCATTGGAAAAACATATGAAGTGGTAGAGTGGTAATAGAGTCCAGTCACACTCATCCATGTGCTTCACTAGCTTTGATTCAATATCAGCTGGAAATGATCTCATCTATTTGACTGGTTACTCTTCTTGGCCTCCAGCTTGATTCATCATCAATTTCTCTTACTACCTGCGGATAAACTACAGTGACTCAAATGTCTTGTCAGATGTTTTTAACTAAGGTTTCAGCTTTGAAGCATCAAATACAATCTCTGGCAGGCTCCTGCATCTTTGCATGTCAAGTTGTGCAGGAGTCAAATGTTAACAATGTTTTCTATGTTGCAGCAGGAAGTTCACATCTCATTCCTTTTCACTACTTGTCTATCAGTTTTTGATTACCAAAAAGGTAACGCCTGATAATCCTTTTAAAAATTATCTTAATCTCGAAGAATGAGGCCGCCATTTATCTCCCAAAAGTGAACTCAACTTTACTCAGAAAAAGTGTTCATTTTTTAGAGCACTTTCTCTTTTGACTCCTCGACTTTAAAAACCAGCCAGATGGCAGTAGGGTATTATTTAAGAAGTCTCTTGATTAATTTAATTTTTTATAGCAGAGTTACTGTGGATTAGCATTGGTCTAGTTATTACAGATATATATAGTATAATACCTGTGTATATATATATATACATATATATATATATATATATATATATATATGTATATATATATTATAAATGTGCCTGTCTCTAACACTTATGCATGATGCAACACTTGAAGTCAGTGGACAATAAGAAGTCCCCCTGCCACTTTGTGACAAATGTGTCCATTTACATGCAGTAGAGGGCTAGATAAAAATAGACGTAAGCAGCTGAGTTGAAGATTTGCCAGCAACCCACAGTTCAAGACAGGAAGATCCTCTACAAGGCTGTATAAGTTGTGGTATAATGACTTGTTAGTGATTGTGAAAACTTGCAATGCATGTAGACTCGAACTGATGTCCAAACCATCATGTTCAGAGGTAACTGTAACAAATTCTGATACTGCTGGTGACACATCATGTTTGACTTCAGGTGGTTTAAAAGAAAAATCAGAAATTCCAAAACTTACCAAGAAAAAGGATGACCCCACTTTTGGAGCTATTGGATTGACCAAGATTATTAATAAGGATCCCACAAAAGACCTACTTTCCTAAAGAGGCACATGAGAAAGTGCCCAACAACCTAATGCAAAACAATCTCCCTCATATCTAGCACCCTGAGGTGCCATTTGTGCAAGCAAGCTGGGCAGTTATCTAGTGTTATAATACAGGTGTTAGGAGATTGGACACTAGTTAAGTATTATGGAATGTATTTTGAGACCACAAGGAAAACATTAAAAGACGTTGAGTTGAGCTTATGTGTGGTCGTCTCTTCCCCGCAATAACATGGTACCAGGAGCAAAGAAAATAACGAAGTTACTACTGAACTACTTCTATTCTACTGTGAACCCTGCTTGGAGGATCCAGGAGGGAAATCTGTGAACATTTCTGCGAAAACAGTCTCCGAACTACTTCGCGCCAAAGTCTTCCGAAACTGACATAGTGAGGTAAACATCGATTATTCCAAGCGAATTTTCATCGTCTACTTTCGGCTAGAGCGAGGAATTCTGGTAATGCACGCATCCATTCCTTACTGCTGTTGTGAAAGATGGTTGCTCATTACCCTGCTGCTCATTTCTCTGGAAATATTATGAACTGTGAGTGACCAAAGTTCAATGCTCGCCTAGAAAATCGCCTTAAAGCATTAAAAGCATTCAAGGGTGTGGATATATCTTCAAAGGAAGCCTCGTCAACATATCTGAGGAAAGAAAGTGTATACTGGTACATGATTAGCTCGGACCGGAAGGCCAGAAGATTTATGACAGTTTAGACTGGGGCGACGATGAAGATGTGAAAAATTACGAACTGATGTGGACCAAATTGGAAGGAGCGGTAAGTGCTGAAGGTAATGAGATCGTAGCTTCAAAGAAATTCAAGGAACGAATTCAGAAACCTAAAGAGACAATCACTTCGTTTGTCACTGATTTGATGCTGTTAGTTAAAGATTGCAATTACATAGATGAAGACAGACAAGTGAGAGACCAATTTGTATATGGTGTTTCTGATGATGATTTGAAGAAAAAACTGCTTGAAAAAGGAAACACGCTTACTAGAACTCAAGCTGTGTCAATTGGCAAAGCCCACGAAACCACAAACCAAGAAGTTCAAGAATGCTGTCTAAAACCACCTGTGAGTGATAGTACCAATGCTGTATTTAAAGATAAGCCAAACGAAGGTCTTATGTGTAACTACTGTGCTAACAAGAAAGGATCTCATAGCTTTGCAAACAAGAGACACTGCCCTGCCTGGGGAGTAGTGTGTACCCTGCAAGATTAAAAATCATTTTAAAGATTCCAAGGAATGTAAGCGACTCCAAAAGGAGAGAAAACCAAAACCAGGAAATCAAAACCAGTCCAGATCAACTAGGAAACCATATGTCCTAAAAGTAGATGAAGATGGTGAAGAGAATTTTTATGAAGTTGTGGACAAAATTTGCACTCTGAATCAACAATGTGACCATAAGAAGGCTTTTGCAAACTTGCTCATCTCAAAGAAAAGAATTTCTGTAAACTTTTAGATAGACTCTGGTTCTACATGCAGTATTTTACCAGTTGGTGTGTACAAGGAAATCAGTGGTGATCATGACCTGCAGGACCTAAACACAACTGTCCGACCAACCCTTTCACTCTATGATGAGAAAACTAGGATACAAACACTGGGAACCAGAAAATGTTTTGTGTTCAACCCTGCAACAAGAAAAGAAGGGATCATTCAGTTTAGAATTGTTAATGAGGACCTGACCCCTCTACTTGGCTTAAGAGATTCTGAGAAACTAAAGCTTCTCGAGCTAATTCGAGAGAACATTGTTACTTTAGACTGTGGCAAACCCGATGTTCCTTCATCTGCTTCTGAACTACACACATCACTCACCATGGCAAACATTTTGACTAATTACCCTGATGTGTTTGATGACAGTGTAGGAAAGCTGGAAGGTGAACTGCACCTTTACACGAAACAAGATGTTACTCCATCGAAAGCAGCTCCCAGGGAGATTCCCCTGTCTGTCAAAACAAATTTTTTGCTGAAGTCAAAGATCTTCAAGAACAAAGTATTATGGAAAAAGTCACAGAGCCCACCGACTGGGTGAACGCTCCCACCATTGTCAACAAGCCATCTGCTAAGAATGGAATAAGACTTTGCATAAATTCAAGACCTCTGAACACTTCACTCGAACGCTCAGAGTATCCAATACCAACTGTTGATCATCTGCTTACTGAAATTAACAATGCCAAAGTGTTTACCTTGGTTGATATCGAGTCTGCTTTCTGGCATGTCCCACTGGATGAAACCAGTCCCCTGCTCACAACCTTCAATACTCCTGTTGGAAGAATGAAATGGAACAGAATGTCTTTTGGCATTAGTGTCGCCCCTGAAGAATTCCAAAGACAAATAGACGAAAGTTTAGAAGGACTGGAAGGTACTAAAGCTGTTGCTGATGACATCCTCATCTGGGGAGATGGCAACACCATCGAAGAAGCAACATCCAACCATGATGCCCGACTATCTGCTTTACTAGAACGATGCCAACAGAAGCATATCAAACTAAACGTTCACAAGTTCTAACTGAAGAAGACTGATTTATCGTACATGGGGGTAACATTGACCGACAAAGGAGTCAAACCAGACCCACAGAAACAAGATAGTACACAAGCCATGCCAGCCCCAACCAACAAGGAGGAACTAAGAAGACTTCTTGGTGTTGTGACTTACCTGTCGAGATTCTCTGAAGCTCTGTCAACCAAATCTGCACCACTTAGAACACTCTTGAAGAACGACGTTGCATTTACCTGGGAAGCGAATGAACAGCAAGCTTTTGACGAAATCAAAGCGCTCATCTCAAGCGCACCACTTCTGAAATATTTCAATCCAGATCTGCCAGTAAAAATCCAAACTGATGCCTCATCCAGCGGCTTAGGAGCCTGCTTCATGCAAGGTGACCAACCTGTCCAGTATGCCTCAAGAGCCCTTACTGAAACTGAAAAACGTTACAGCCAGATCGAGAAAGAGATGCTCAGTGTGGTATTTGGCCTCACAAGGTTCCAGAGCTATATCTATGGAAGAAAGTTAACAGTCCATAATGACCACAAACCACTTGCTGCGGTACTCAAGCGACCAGTTGGGGAGAATCCCATTAGACTTCAAAGAATGCTTTGCCGAATTATGGGATATGACCTTGACTTCAAATACATCAAAGGCAAAGACCTACTAATTGCTGATGCCCTTAGCAGAGCCCACACGATTAATCACAGTCACAGCCAGAACGAAGAAGAGATTGAAACCATTGGCTTGGTTATTCAAGATCAAAGTGTGACACGCCACCTCAATGAAATTGCAGAGGAAACTGCCAAGGACAAAGGGACAAAGAGACAAAGAGACAAAGCTCACATGGGTGTTGTGTCAACTTTACAACATGCTTGTACATCTCTTTGGTGGCCCGGTATGAATTCGCAGCTGAAGCAGTTCAAATCTACATGCCAAGTTTGTCAATCCTTCCAGAGAAACAACCCGAAAGAAAGTCTGATGAGTCATTCTATTCCTGATAGACCCTGGTCCAAAATTGCAGCTGACCCTTTTGAGTTTAAAGGGGAACACTATTTAGTATTGGCCGACTACTAAAGCGATTGGATCGAATTTGATAAGATGAGAGACCAAACTGCAATTGAAACCATTGCCCTGCTACTCAAACAATTCTCACGATGGGGACTTCCCGATGAGATTGTCACTGACTGTGGAAAGAATTTCGATTCTAAGGAATTCTCACAATTCTGTCAGAGGAAGCAGATAAAACACACAAAATCCTTACCTCACCATCATCAGAGTAATGGCAAAGGGAAATCAGTGGTGAAGATCACAAATCTATCTTGAGAAAGACTGAAAACTCTGCTTTGAATCCTTACGAAGCCCTACTTGATCAATATAATACACCTACAGTTGATATGACGACATCACCTGCTCAAAGATTTCTAGACCGAAGACTGAAATCTGAAATTCCTATGAAAGCCACTCTGCTTACACCAGAAATTGCTGAAACGGTCCTAGAAGAAATGGTTATGAAAACAACCAAGTCTCAAATGTATTACAATCGAACTGCCAAAGATCTGAGTGTTTTACAACCTGGTGATACAGTAGCCATCAAACCTGAAGGACTAACCAAAGGACAACAATGGAGAAAAGGATCTATTATTCAGAAAAATCCATTTCGTTCATATGATGTTGAAGTGGATGGCAAACTCCTCCAAAGAAACCGTGTACGCCTAAAACCCGCAGGAAAACCGCCTAATCTGAAGAAGACACAATCTGCTCCAAAACCAAACGCAAATGTCAAAGACCATGCTTCGGGAACCAAACATTCTAGTTCAAATCCTGTACCTAGTTCTAAACAACTTAAATCCGAGCCGCTAAGCCTGTTAAGTCCACTAAGAAGATGGAACTAGTTGTTGCAGAACGAACACGTTCAGGACGTTTAGTTAAAACACCAGCAAGATACTCTTCATAGTCTGTTGACGTAAAATTGTTCATTTTACAGGGGGGGAGGTGTTAGGAGATTGGACACTAGTAAAGTATTATGGGATGTATCTTGAGACCACCAGGAAAACATTAAAAGATGTTGAGTTGAGCTTATGTGCGGTTGTCTCTTCCCCGCCATAACAACAGGTCTTACCTATCTAACACTAGTGAAAAGGACAGCCAATATATTTTTTTGCAAAGCTTGGAAAAGCTTATTTGAGTTGTTTTTTTGGAGTTCCAAATAAGTTGTTGTAAAGTTGTGATAAACTAAATTGAAAGTGATTTTCTTATTCTAGCACAACTGCTGATATATGTTTCTCACCTCACCGGACCTGCATAACATGGGAATTATTAAGTACTATATAGTGGTAAAAGCAGCCTGGGATACTTTCTAAGAGACTAGTCACAGGGTAATAAAAAAAATAAATAAACGACAAGAAGATAAATGTAAACATAAAGTTTTCCTATCCAACACAAAAAAATTAACCAATAATTACTATTTACATGGTTGTTGAACATCAATGTCATGTCAAAATGATTTCAATTAGTAGTTTCTGTATTTTCCTCGGTGCAGTGGTTATAACAGTAAATCGGGAACAAACTAGAACAAAAAAATTATATCCTTTCAGCTTGCCAATCTCCAAAGAAAAATATCCTATTCTCCATCTTAGATCACATTGAGAAGCTCAGGCCGATTTTATCAAAACCTTGCCTGAGCTAAGAGTGTTCCTGGAACAAAGGGAAAAAGAGAAACAAAAATCTGCGCCGCACATCCAATGCTAAGTATCAAAGCAAGCGAAAGCAAAGTGCAGTGCCCATCATTGATTTTGATCCAAGACCTGTGGAGCACCATCAAGTTTCACTGCAGCAAATCAATTGATTAGTGTCTCCCCTTGGTGACATATTGCAGAACAGTAATGGGTTATCAATGAAGGAAATGCAGCTCAAGTTTACCCACGAAAATTATGTTTGCAAGAAAAAGTCAAAATTCTCTTCAAGAACCTCACACCAGCCACTGTCATGGAAATTCCAGTCACTCAAGGGCAAAGGGCAATGGAGAAATGGTTAATAGAAAGGTGGTGCCGGCTAACAGCATCCAAAAGTTGGTAAACTTGTTGGTCAAGCAGAGCAAAATGCTGCTTCAGAGGCATTCAAATTTATTTCACCCAATATTTGGGGAATAGACTCTGAACTGTTTCAGTCAAACTGGATGCTTTATGGCCTGGAAAGTGAGTCAAGCGCAATCTTCAAATACGAGGAGGAAACCTCAAGAAAAGTGTGTTGTTGTGGATTATGGGTAAATCCCAAGCTGCCCTATCTTGCCTGTTCACCAGATGACCTTGTGCGTAAGGATTATGTTATTGAGATCATTTCCTTAAAGATTTTCAAACAGTATTCTGTACAAGCTGTCACTTCGCTAACCTCCACTATTCCTAAGGAAGTCCTGAGTAGACAGTGTTTTTGTGTAAAAGATGGGAAATGTGTGTTGAAGCGTACCCATGGTTACTACTATCAGTGTCAACACATCCTCATAGTGACAGGCAGGAAGTTCTGTGACTTTAGTACTTGGGCTTCATAAGGAATGCCCAAGCTATAAAGTGGGCTTTATTATTATTTTCATCTTGAGACACAAAACGTAGTCCAGCAAGTAAAGCGCATAAGTATATACCTGGGTAAGCTTCAAAGCATATGGTTATCATAGCAGCCAGAAAGATGCTTTGTGATTCAAGGCTAACTATGTCTTCTCATGCGCTCAAACTACATACAAAAGCACACATTGTTTGTGGTAGGCCCATACTAAAAGATGTCGAGCATTTTCGAGATGGGTCAGTCCATAAACTTTATGAGAGATTGACTTATGAGCAAATACTTTTGAGTGAACCCTCTATCAAGAACTATGCTATATCAAATGAACTATCTCCGGAACTATCTAATGTAAGCTTAAAACCTATCCATAGACATCATCAAGTATCTAGATGTGATCCTGAACCAAGTAAAATACCTATACAAACTATGGGATGTCTGAAGAACAAGAGCAGAAAGGTTAGAATGTTTGTTTGCGAATAAACGTATTCGTTCAACTATACCCAAATCATCTAAATTGTATTTTTTTGTGAAAGCTGGAAAACAAGAAAATAAAGCAAAGCTTACACTTGAATGCTCTGAGAAATTCAATCATCGTATAATAGAGTTAAAACGTAGAGTTACTCAGTATTTGTCACTTATATGTTGTGCAGGTTCAAAGCCCTACAATTTTGAAAAATATTTCCAGAGAGAAAGATAAACTTCTAAAAAAGAAGAAATGAAATGCATACATGAGGGAATACATGAGGATGAGGAAGAATAATGAGACTGAAAATGAGAAAGTTGAATATCACAAAAAACAAAACACATACACGAAGGATTGTACTAAAAGAAAAAGTACAATGATGATGAAATTTATGTCCTGTAATAAACGCAAAAGAGCTGAGTAAATGAAAGAATACAGAAAGCGAAAGAAAATTAATGTCATATATGTAAGTCAGTCAGAAAGTGATATTAAGAAACAAATGAATTCTCTATCTTCAGACAACCCAGATATTAAAATAATGCACCGTGCTCCAGATAAGGAAGTGTATTTGTCTCAATTTGAGAGTCGAAGAAATGGACCTATCCATGACCAGAAATGGGTGATTAAGAACATGCAGGATTTTCATAATTCTATGAAATTCAAAATTTACAGATGTGAGATCTGTATTGAGGCATGGCCATTGTCCACAAAATCTAAAAAGAAAGTTCCATATATTTGCTCAAGATGTGTTTGTGACAAAAATACTGTGAAATAATTTTCAGCTCAAAATAATGATACCCTCTAAAGTACCAATTGAATTGCAAGGACTTAATCAATTAGAAAAAATGTTGAGAGCACGAGTTTTCCCAGTCATATTTGTTTATACAAAGCCTAGTGGACAAAAAACATACAAAGCAAACAAAAGTCCCTGATAAATTTTTCTCAAAAATATCCAGGAACTAGCAGACTCATTGCCCAGATACCCTTGGGAACAACCAGCAATAGTAATCTCTGTTAAGGACAAAGATAACATTTTTAAAGACCTCACAGTGGGACGGCAGAAAGTGAGTTATACTCTCCATTGGTTGGTTCAGCATAATCCTGTTTATAAAGAAATCACCATAGATTAGAAGTGTTTAGATTCCTTGCCAACTGGAGGAATCCCATGCGATCTGCCTGAAATCGATGTTGGTGAAAACTGTCAAGATAATGAAATTGACCCAGACAGAGGTCCACTTGATGTAGATGAAATACCAGTCAATGAAGAGACAGAATTAAGTAGTACAATTTTTAACCCAATTAACCTGAAGCCGCAGAAGTAACTGATAACAGATGAGCTATAATAGAATAAGAAAATCAACTGGCCTTCCCAGAATTCTAGCCGTCTCAATGAATTTAAGATTGAATATCTTTCTGCAATGGCTTTCCCTACCCTATTTCCAGATGCCAAAGGAGACCCTACAAACAGTGCTATTATGCGAGATCTAACTCTGGGAGGAAAAATAAAGCATCTAGTTAAATTTGCTGAATATTCTAATGGAAAATGGGTCTATAGGTTTGCCAGCCATCCACAGTTTGCCTATTGGGCATTCAACATGATTCAAAGACACCAACTTCTTAGTCAAGGAAGTGTTTTTCAAAAGTAAAATCCTGGTGAAGCAAAGCTTACTGTAGAACAACTTCTATGGATGCTAAAATCGAACAACTATTCTACACTTGTCTAAACTCATACATTATGCTAAAATGTAACAGGAGCTAATTGCTACTGGTACAAAGGATAAGAGGATTTGTGTGCAACCATTGCATGAGTAGGACCTCCTACAATATTTTTACTTTGTCTTGTGCTAAATATCACTGGCCTGAATTTCATTATCTCATCGATGATTCACATTGTGAAAATTTTCCACCAGAGATCAGACAGTAACACATTCTTCAGAATCCCCATCTGCTAGACTGGCTGTTTGCTGAACAAACTGATCTCTTTGTTAAGTTATGGATGAATAAATCATTAAGAGCAACTTGGCATTGGTACAGATATGAATATGCTGTCCAGAAGGGATCTATTCATTGTCATGGAGTTGCCAAACTGCAGAATGACCCAGGGCTTTGCAAACTTACTGAAGTAGCACTGCAGGGCTTTTTGGCATCAGAATACATTGATGAAAACCGAAACCTTCTTTCCAATGAAGAAGTGAGAGAATTTCAAAACAAGTTAAAAGAAAGAAAAAATGCAGAGTCTATTGTTTGCCAATATGTTGACTTCTTATTGTCAACTTGGAATCCCTGTCCTCCAGATGATGGCTGGTCTAAACTGGATATTCACCCCTGTCAGACATCGTATCTCTCTTTGAAATACAATCAGATGGAAGAGGACTATGTTGATCTACTGAATTCTGTCCAAAGGCATACAATGTGTAGTACTAAATATTGCTTTAGGGAAAAAAACAATTCAGAATTAAAATGCAGATTTAATTTTCCATTCGATGACTGCTCTAAAACAAGGATAAATTTTGAGCCTGTACATACAAAGTAAGGCCAGCCAAAGTACAAAGCAGTTATTGTCACATAACGAAATGACTCTAGACTAAACCGTCATCAGCCATTGCAGCTTCAAGGATGGCGTGCAAATTGTGATATTCAAATTATTGTAGACTACCAAGCATGTTTAGAATACCTAGTGAAGTATGCATCTAAAGGTAGAAAGCATCTTCAGTCCTTAACAATGCTTTTACTAATGTTGTCCAGAAGCTTACTGATGTAAGTGACATCCCTAGCACATTTAAGCAGATTATAGTTAAATCTGTTAGACAAAGGGACTACTCAATCCAAGAAGTTATGCACCCTTTACTCTCTCTAAAGTGTTAGCTCTACTTATGATGTCATAACGGCATCTCTTGATGGCTCAAGATAAATTCAAATGGCAAGAAATAAGAAATTTTGTACTGCCCCATCCATGCTTGATACCTATGATGAGAGAGAGAGAAGTATTTAGGATCAGTTCCTAAGATAATGAAGTACAATTTTATACAACTAGAAAAAAAGAAATCATCCAGTCATTGTTGAAGCTTATCAAAAATATTCATCAAATCCTGAGAATAAACATTATGGGCTGTTTCGTAAATATGAACTACTGAGATGTAAGCCCTGGCAGCACACACCAGATAATGCTTGGGATAATGCTAAGCAATGTGATGAAGCATTTAAGACTTGTTTGATGAGTTTTCTGTGCAGTGATACAGGTAAAGAACTGGTGCCTGACTGGGAACTTAAACTAGAGACTTTAAAGGCATCTATCAGACTAGATATTGACAATGTACTAGATGCCCAAGAAGCCCAATAAGAAGCACAAGGTTGGTTTCTCCAAATCGTACCTCAGATGGGTCACTAGCTATCTTACCGAGAGAAAGCAGTTTGTTCAGATAGATGACAAACTTTCGAGTACCATTGAGGTGGCCTTTGGTGTCCCCCAGGGTTCCATATTGGGGCCTGTCATCTTCAATCTTTATGTCAATGACTTGTCAGATAGTCTGAAGGCATCCATAACATCACACCAGTACGCTGACGACACAACCTTCTATGCGCACAGCAATCCTGCAAATATTAAGCAGTGTGAAGACCAATTACAACATGCGTTGGATCAGCTTTCAACTTGGTCAGGTGAGTGCAATCTTTGTTTGAATCCTGATAAGACAAAGGTGATGCTGTTCTCGACTCAACAACTGGCTCGTGTGCAAAAGCTTGATGAATACCCGATCAACCTGCATACAAATGGTGTTAAGTTAGAATGAATCAAAACCACTCGATTACTTGGCACAGAAATCGACAAAAACCTGAAATGGAACGATGACATTCTTTCCAAAATACCAAAGTGCTACAATACTCTTGCTGTTATCAAGAAACTCAAGAATCTTGCCCCTTTTCATGTCAGGAAATGTCTGGCAGAGAGCATTGTGTTGTCGTTAATTGATTACAACGATATAGTATGTCATCTCATTCCTAAGTACCCGATGCAGAGACTCCAACGTGTCCAACTTGCCGCAGCAAGTTTCGTTTACAATCACTATGCAGATATGTCGGACGTTTTGAAACTTGGATGGCTCCCTATAAGTTATCATCGAGACTATCACATAACTAGGATGATATGCAAGGCTTTATACCAAAACTGCTGGCCAACCTGCCTCAAACTGGTCGAACATAAACCAGCAAGGACTCTAAGATCTTCTTGTGAGCGTCACCTTGAACCATTGACTGTTCCTGGAACACTACAAAATTTTGCTGCGATGCTATTTACCAGTCTACCTCAAGACATTAAATTGTACAGAACTCAAAGTATTCGACAGTAAATGCAGAAATCATTTTATGACATTGGCAACCAGTAGTTCCTGGTCCTTCTTATATATCCTGTACATACTTTATGTCTCAAGCCAGTAATACTTTCATATGCGCATATCCATATTATCCATAAATTTTACATCATCAATATTATACAATTTTTTAAAGTGAATTAGTTTAGAAGAGCCACCATGTGG